GGTGCAGCCCTAAGCAGCAGGCGGCCTGGAGCACGCAGGGAGGGTGGAGGGGCTGCGTGTCTGGGGGGGTGAAAGGTACTTAACAAATACCTGCGGCCTGAGGCGGGTTCCGGGTGCGGCTGGCACTCTGGAAAGGGTGCGGTTTGTGTGCCCGGTAAGCAGAGGGCAGGCGGCGGAGAGAGGCTGCCAGTGTCTCCTGGGACAGCCTCTTGCAGTGTCATTTCTGGGTCGAAATGTTTTGAATTCTTAGCGTTCCGTATTACCTAATCCAGTTTGTTCATCACAGAATGCATTTTCTAAAACCGAGGGCTCTGGGAGGCGGCGTATCGTAATGGAAGAACATTCTGGCGTCAGAACGGTCCCGCACGCAGCCTTTGCTGGCTGGGAGCTCGGGCAGGTTGCCGTGGCTCCCAGCGAGCCGGTCCTAGGGCCCTGCGTTTAGCCGGCTTCAGCGCGACGGCGCGTGCAACGCTCCGGGGCGCACGGGAGGTGGGTGGTAGTCGGCCCTTCTGGTATTTCACATCGTCGTTAATTTGCAGCTGACAGCCAGCTGCGTTAGCACGTCCGATGTTCACAGCGTCTCGGATTTGGGTGAGTCCGTTTCATTTTAAACAAGGAAACCCTATCCAGGAAGATCTGGGAAGAGGCAGGGATTCACACCGGCCCGATTGCCGTTCAGCCGCTCCTGGGCCAGGACACCTGGGAGAGGCGGGGAGCTCCGGCCCCTGTTCCCCGAGTTAGAATTCCCGAGGGTTCCCTTACCTTGTTGGGACCTTTAAACAAAGCTGCTCGATTTGACTTGCAGAGAGGCTGTGGCTCTCGCTCGGGGACAGCCCAGGACAGCCGTGATGGGGGAGCGGGTCCTCGAGGCCACCTCACCCAGCCCTCGCTCGGGGCGACACACTGGAAATGGAGACTCCCCCGGAAGTGGGGCGTTCTCTCTTCCTCCCTCCTCCCTCTCTCCCCTTAACCCCTCCACGTTTCTCCCCGACTGCTTTTCCCAAGGCTCCCAGACTTCTGACGGCGCCTTCGAATGGTGCTTTTCAGTGCGGGAAGAGTATGATCTGATTTATGTCTGTGAAAACTTACTCAGGGTGGACCATGGGGGGAGGGAGGCGGTGACAGTAGACACTGAGAGTGCTGGGGAGGCGCCCTGCGGACTGCCTGGGGGAGGGCCCGCGGGCCTGGGCTGGGGGGGGAGATGGTGCCCACAGGACTTGCTGAAGGGTTCAGTGGGGGGGGGAGTTCAGTGAAGAGTGACTCCTGTGTTTTGACCTTGACACTTAGAGGGAGGTGCCCCCTTTTGAGCCGTGAAGGTTGTGAGGGTTTGGTGGGCGAAGGGGGGTGTTGGGGACCCATCTGGGTCTACTCGGTGATCACAGTGAGTTTCGGGGCTTCCCTGGTGTACGTGTCTTAGCAGCAGCGTCTGTGGGCCGGGGAACCCCGAAGACCGTTTACAGAGTGCATGTAGATAAAGGGGTAACTCAGCCCAGGGCTGAGCCCAGGCACCGCCACCGGGGCATCTACAAAGAGGAGGACCCGGTAAGAGACTGAAGCGAGGCCAGTGGGAAAGAAGAAAGACCCAGCGCCCCCTCCTCCCCCCAGCATTCATGAGATTGGCTCCCGGGGGGTGGGGTGGGGGCCGTTTCTCCACGTGCCCTCCTCTGATCGGCAATGTCCAAGGCCTTTTCTAAAGTGGTTACATACTTCGGTGTCAGACCTTTCTGGAAACTGTAAATAAGCTTCTCATTCTCAGGATGGACAATGTGGGAGCACACTGTTGAGACTCAGCTTTAGTTATAGCTTAACGTCCTGTTGATTTTCTTCCCTTAAATGTTAAGATTCTGTTCTTGGGGCGCCTGGGTGGCTTAGTCGGTTAAGCGTCCGACTTTCGCTTAGGTCATGATCTCGCGGTTCGCGGGTTCGAGCCCCGCGTCGGGCTCTGTGCTGACTGCCACCTCAGAGCCTGGAGCCTGTTTCGGTCTGTGACTCCCTCTCTCTCTGACCCTCCCCTGCTCACGCTGTCTCTCTCTCTCTCCTAGAAAAAAAAAAAAATTCTGTTCTTTAGAGTCAATACTTTGAGACGATAGTGGTTTTGTACGGTAGACGTTATGGGTAGGGTCTGAAAGCACAGACTGAATCTTTCATGATTGCAAATTGACGGAAGGAACATTTGAGAACATAATTGCCGTGAATACGCTGCGGCAGGTCCGTGGCACTCCCCTCTCTCAGCAGGCTCCGCTCCAACTCTGCGGCCTACAGTCCCCCGCTCCGTCCTGGCTCCCTTGGCCTCCAGGGGGAAAGTTGGTGCCTGTCGGCGTCCCTCCGGGTCGCAGCCTGTTTGCACAGCCACGTGCTGGAACCGATTTGTGTCCTGAGGGGCCCTCTGCTGAGGCCTTGGAACCAGCCTGCCGATCCAGCCCGGTCCGACGCGGGCACCTTGTCACTCCCTCCACACCAGGGCCTCCAGCTCCTCGGAATTTTCTGTCGGCTGGCTCACCAGGCTTCTCCCCTTCGTCCCGCACTCCCCAGCGAGCCAGTTCAGCTCACGCCTTGCCTTTGAAACCCTGGCTTTCCATTGTGTCCTCAGTCACTGCGGCTGCCCTCTGGCCCCGGGTAAGCCTTTGGGTGCCGAGCTGGGCCTGCACGTGGCGGAGCGAGCCAGGCCCATCCCGTTGTCAGAAAGTGGGGGTCTGCGGCACCGTCTGGGCCACCTCCTCAGCGGGCTCCCCGCGGCGCCCCTTCCCCAGCCTCAGCTGCTTGCAGCGCTTGTAACTCCCACAGCCCGCAGCCACTCTTTGTCAGCACACAGTGCCACGGGGCGTGACCGGCTTTGGCTTCCGTCCTTCTCCATGGTTCTCCATAGACCCCTGCCCCTCTGTGGCTTCCTCCGTCTCAGGGAGAAGGATCGTCCCCCTGGGTCTGCAAACTTGGACCCTCATCCTTCCCAAAACACAAACGTGCAGCGAGCCTGAACTGCTTTTGCGGGGGCAGGGGCGGTTCTGGTCCGCAGAGAAGTAGAAGGGAAGGGGGACCGGGCGCAAGCGTGGCGGGGCCTCTCCGCTCACGTCGTCTTCGTCTGCTCTCTTAACTGGCTTCACTGTACACCAGTCCTCCGTTCTGTTCCCATCAAATCGCTCTGGGGCTGCGGTACGCTTTTAAAGCGTGGTGGAGTCAAACCGGATGCAGTGCCCCCGGTGAGACCCGTGCCCAGCCCCTGCGGGTCCAGGGCGGCCCCTCTGCCCGCGGCGACCCTGCCCAGCATGGGTTTGACCGCGCAGGCTACTTCCACGTGAATTTCTTTGGATACAGCATGTAATGCCGTAAATGTGTTTTCTCTTACGATTTTCTTCACACGTTCTTTTCTCTTGCCTCCTTTCTCATACGAACACGTACAGAAATGGCGTTCGTTGGCTGTTTCTGTCACCGCGAGGCTGCAGGGCAGTGGGAAGCTATTAGGAGTTGAGTCTGGGGGGCGTCAGAAGTTACCCACAGGTTTCCGACTGCTCGGGGGGATGGCGTCCCCCGCCCCGTGTTGCTCAGGGGCGGCTGTACCCCTTTAGGATTACTGCAGCGTTGCACGAGCTGGTGCCCAAGGGCGGAAACTGAGGGCAGAATCCCCTCTGCTTCCCCTTCCCGCCGCGTAGATCCTGGACTTACGCGTGCATTTGAAAAGTGCTTCTCTGATTTTCTCACCACCCGGTCTCCCGGCCCGTGGCCCTGAACCGCTCCTGCCAGGGCCACATCCCCGATGGGCTCTCCCGGCGCCTGCTTCACTGGGCCTGACCACTCCAGCCTTCCTGCTCGTGCCCGGCCCCTCTGGCTCCCCTGCTGGCGCTTCGGACCCGTGCCAGGGCTCCAGCCCCCCACTTCTGCCGCCCCTCGGGTGGTCACGTCCATTCCCACGCCGCTCGTCCCCTCTGTGCCGAGGTCTGTCTAGGTCGGGGCAGGGGGAAGGCAGACGACTGTCTGCTGGCGGATTCCTCAGGCACCTCTCGCTCCGGGAGGCCCGGGCTCGGGCTCTCTCCCTGAGGCTGCAGCTCCTGCGTTCCAGAGGAAGCGGCCAGGGCAGCGGTGTCTCCAGGTCCCTTTCACGCCCTTGTTATGTGCCCCGGCCACCCCATGTCGCCGGCCCCTGCCGTGCTTTCCCTTCCTGGGCTTGGCTCTCAGTTGCGCCCGGGCCCCTGTCCCCTCTTGGCCCTGGCCTGTGCCTTCTCTGCTCTCGCTGGCGGTGGCCTGTCTCACCTTGTCGCCAATTACCTTTTAAAGCATCTGTCTGTTCACAAAGTTCTGGTGCCTCCCATTCAGCACAACGAGACCAGGCTTCTGGATTCCTTCCCTGGCCACTCTGAGCCCCTTGGGAGTGGCCCCGGTCTGCCCGTCCCCGTCTGTGTGCCCGTCCCTTCCTCCTGCCCGAGCCCGAGGCCCTTCAGCACACCGTGTGCCTCTCCCGCCTGGGTCTCCCGCGCCGTCCTCTCCGCCTGCCTGTCGTCACCACCACGCGGTCCTCGTTACTGACACCCTCTCTGGCTCCTCCAGACAGAATTAGCCGTTGGCCTCTCTCTCCTTCATCACACTGCTCCTAATTTGGGGCTCACACTTAGCGTATTATTTACCAGCCTGATTGCCACCTCTGCCGCCCCGTGAGCCCCCGTGGGCTAAAGCTCCTGTCTGTGGTGGTGCATCCGGGCGCCTGGTGTAGACGGGATGCTGCTTGGAGCCCCCCCACCCCTGCCCCATGTTTGAATTAAGTAGCTGCCTCACGGTTGGGTTTGCTTCGCATGCTGCTTCTGTGCCTGAAGCAGAGAGTTGCTTATTCCTGCTTTTTATAGGTCATCAGTGGGCGTATGAATACACCACAGTGAGTTTAAACAGCATCGTAACATAAACACAAATACCAGACTCGAGGCTAGACATTCTTTTTACTGCAGTAGAGAAAGTAATTATATCAGGATTCTTTTTTTTTTTTTAGATTTTATTTTTTTAAGTGATCTCAACACCCAACATGGGGCTCGAACTCACAACTCCGAGATCAAGGTCACATGCTCTGCCCGCTGAGCCAGCAGGCACTCTTCTTGATTCTTTTATGTAGTAACTCATCAGCACGGAATACTGACGTCTTGTGTTTGTTTGTTTTCAGTTTGTGTTTGAGAGTACATTTTCTGTTTACAGCCAAGGTAAAAAGCGAGGGGAAAGGCTCAGAACCTTGTCTGAACCGACATCTTGACTCCTGAGTGCAGTTTCTAGAGGAAACATCTGGCTGGAACTTGGCCTCCACTTGGCCTTTCCCACCCGGCACACGAACCCGTGCTGGTTATTTCTCTCCTGTTCGTTCTTTTATTGCAGTGTAATCAACTTGACGGATGCCGTGTCCCTCTCAGGACGTGGCGCCTCTCTGTCAGCTGAGCAGGTGACCGTGGGCTCTTCTCAGGCATGCTTCTCGTCGCCAAACCAGCTTTGGTTCCTTTAAAAAAAAATCCACGTGGCCTGGTTTCAAGGGCCACGTAGGTGGCAGAACACTGTTGAGGCTTATCCATGTTGTTGCAGGCGTCTGTAGTTTTCTCCCTCTTCGTCGCTGAGAAGTGTGCCGTTGTACGAATGTACCATAGTTTTTCCGTTCGTCCCCTGGTGCTGATATTTGGATTGTTTCTAGTCTGGAAGGTTATGAATACAGCTGTGTAAACGGTGCCATGCACGTGTGTGTTCACATTCATCTTTCTTGGGTAAATACCTCTAAGTGGAATTATTGAGTCATAGGAGGGGCGTACAGCTTGGAGAAAGCGCAAGGCCCCTTTTCGACGTGGTGGTTGTGTTGGTTATTTTTTCATATTTATACAAGTAACTGGGGATTTGGTCCCATTGTAGAGATTCTGCTCTAAACGTGATGTCTGAGCAGTCTTGTGTTCTGCAAAGCCCGTTTCACTTTATGGAAGTAAAGTATTGTTACGTAAGCTTATTTGAAAACAGTTCAAAATATTACTACGTGATTACGGTTGTTAGCTATTGCATAGATATTTGAACAAAGTTATTATATATAAATACTATATTTAAAAAGCACCCCCCCCCCCGTTAGTTTCAGCGGCTTGGGAGTCACGGCCACATTTGTTCCTTAGATGTTCACAAGGGGCTCAGAGCTGGAAAGGTGCTGGGGGACGGTGGCCTGTGGGTGGGGGCGGAAGGCACGCAGGGAGGTTGTCGGGTAAGTGCTGAGGGAGAAACGGCTTCTGAGGGGTCTTGGGGGCGGTGCGCAGGGGAGATGACGGGGCCCGGCCCCAGTGGGGGTAGGCAGACTTGAGGCAGGACGGTAAGCAGCTTCCGCTCTCCTCTGGAAGGTCTAGTGGTGGAGACTGGGAGCCCTGGGAGGCACCTACCACCTCCTGACCCCTGGCCCCTCCTCCTCCCCCACTTCCATGCCGGCCTCCTGGTGTCCCCATCAGGGGTCTTAGTTTCAAAAGACAGACACCGACAGAGGGTTTGTGTAAGCGGAAGAATAACCTTTTGGAAGGAGACGAGAAAAAGAACGGACCGGCGCCGGGGCGGGACCTGCTAGTTGTATTTTATGCCCTCTCCTGACATCTTCCTCTGTCCCTTAGCTGTCCCTTTGGGAAAGTCCCTCCCTCTCTTGTCCAATCCTGGTTTTAAACTTCTGTCATCATTTTTATTTTCAGGAACTAGGAAGTTCGCAGAATGTTCCCCTTTTGTTTCACAGAAACGATTTCACATTTCTTCTTGAGTTTTCTCTCTGCCTTTTGCCTGTTCTGTGATTCTTCCTGGGGCTCCAGCCTTTGGTGAGACCTGTTTTGGGGGTTTTTCAAAACATCTGACCTCCGTGTCAGTCAGAGCATCCCGCCGCGCACCTGCAGCATAGGCAGCCGTGTGTCGACTCAGCTTCGGGGAGACTGGAAATAAATGGACAGCGTGAAAAGAATCTCATGACAAGATTTGTGCTGGAAATAAAGACCATTTATGCTGGGGGTCCTGCCCGTCTTGGTATCTTCAGGCCTTTTTCCTTAGGGCCACGCAGTCTAGACAGGCCGCGTCTGGTGGGCGGCCTGCCGGTGACTGGGAGCCAGGAGGGAGCGCTGACGGGGAGTTGCTTCCTTTGGTAGGTGGTCCTCACTCGGTTCCCCGTTTTCCTCCGTCCCCGCGGGCCAGGTGCCCCCTGTCCGGCGCCCCTCCCCTCTTGCCCCCCCCCCCCCCCCCGTTTTCTCTGCAGCTCTCTGGCCGTGGCTGCTAAAACAGCTGTTGGCTTTGGGAACACGGGCTGGCCGGGTTGGGTTCGCGGCACCCCCGGGGATCGTGCTCAAGAGATTCTGGCCGATAGACTCGTGTTTCATGTTGGGGCAGGTGCGAAGGAAGTCGCTTCCTGTTTAGAGATGTCAGTCATCTCGTAGTTTACTAGCAATGGAAACGCAGAGGAGAAGCGGCTTCCCAGTCCAGGGTAGTTGTGAATAACAGAACTTTCTGCGTCAAGTGGGACGTTGGCGACACAGCTCCGGGGACACCACAGCCTAAGAGACGGTAGGTGCTTTTGTTGCAAGGGAAGTACCCGTTCTAATCCGACTGTGTTGTCTTTCAGATCCTGTCACTTAGCACACTATGCACCTTCAGATCCTGAGGAAAAGGCGCAAAATGTTCGAGTAATGTGCAGAGATCATTTGTGAGGTAAGCAGGGGACCCTGCCGAGCTGTGTGGCCACTGCCCCCTTTCCGACGCGGCCGCTGACTGGGTTCATCGTAAGGGTGGTTTGTGCGGTATAGACGGTCAGCCTTTCTCTCGACCTGTGGCTTTGGCTCCCTTGCCGCCCTGAGGGGGCTCCGTGGGGTGCGTCCTAGGTGATCCCTAGGTGAGCGCCCAGTGAGAGTTCACGGAAAGCGCTATCCGGACGGGAGTCCCCTTACGTTGTAGCAATCTGCTTGCCACCTGCCGTGTTCTGGGGAACCACTTTCTTCAATGTGAGCATGAACAGTGTGGACAGGGTCCCATTAAATCGGCCGTTAAAGTCAAACCATGACGACCTGCCAGCCACTTGCCTACCGGCGTGCACCACCTTCCGGGTTCCCTCAGAAGCGGTCGCAGTGCTCCGAGAGGGTGGTGGCGCTGCCCTGAGTGGCGCCGGGGCTGTGCGTGGGGACAGGGCCAGGGGCCGGGGCTGTGGGGAAGGGGTCACAGGGCCGGGGCTGGGGGCCTGGGCTGTGAGTGGGGACAGGGCCAGGGGCCGGGGCTGTGGGGAAGGGGTCACAGGGCCGGGGCTGTGAGTGGGGACAGGGCCAGGGGCCGTGGCTGTGGGGAAGGGGCCGTGCCCTTGCCCCGGTCGCTGCTACGTTCAGTGTCACATCTGCTCAGATGTTCCCAGCATCTGCACGTTGGGTCTTCGTAAAGGGTTGCTTCTTCACTTCCTCCCCTCCCTTCCTGCCGCCTGCGCGCAGTGTAAACATGGTGACTCGGCAGAACGCCCGCACAGTTGATTACAGGGAACTGAATGTGCCCAGCCGAAGCGTGCTGGGGTCAGCGCTTGTTTTCCTGTGCGGTAGCAGATTCCCTCCGCATCGCCTTGGGGGGACTTTACACGCGTGGCCCTAATGCACACAGACATTCTGCGTCGGCGTCCTCGTAGGCATGTAGAGGAGCGTCCCGCACCCCCAGCGCTGGGCATGTATGCGCCTCCTGCACCGGCGCGCGGGGCGGGACTGGCTCGGCATTCGGTGCCCATCTCTAGAGCACCTGCTCCCGGGGCAGAGCTCCGGCCGCAGACGAGCCCCAACGTAGCCCGTAGCTTCTTGTCTTGCTGTCGGGCAGGCGAATGCCCACCTGCCACGGGGCGCATCCTGCTTGAGGAGGGGCCACAAAACGGATGCTGGTCGCAGGGATTTTCCTGCTTGAGGCCTTGATGTATAGTTACAATTCGCCCAGACCCTTTTATGGAAACCACTGCAAAACTAAACTGCTTACATCTGAGACGGGGCCCAGTTTCTCGGTGCTGCACCTGCCGAGTAACAGACATGCCCTTGGGAATCGGGGGGCCAACAGCGCGCACCAGACCGGAGCTCCGGGGGCGCGGGGAGAGGGCTGGGCCCTGCGCGGGAGCCCGTCAGGGAGGGAGAAGGAGGTCTGTGCGCCATGGGCAGTGCTGGTGAGCGGCCCGAGCGTTCCAGGGAAAGAAGCTTCCAGTCCCTGCTTCGGCCCTGACAGAATTGGGCCGGATGGGGGTGTAGGCAGCGCCAGAGCGCGGTCCTCAGATGGTCACGTGTGGGGCGCGGCAGCCCTTCCCAGGGTGCTCCTCAGGGGAACGGTACTTGTCCGTGTGGCTCTGGGGGGAAGACTGTGACCCTGCAGGGCGCGGGGGCTCCTGGGGACCGAGCGGACCCATGGGAAGGCGGGCAGACGGGCTGCCCCGCCAGTGGGTGGGAAACGCCTGCTGGAAGGCTGGCTGTGATCTGTCCACACTCCTTGTATCTTAGTTCCTTCTGTGTCATTCAGAAAACAGCCTCAAGTAGGTGTGTCCGGCCTGCAAGCTGGGGTATTTTATCGACTGAGGGAAAGCGGGGCCAGTCTCACTTGTGCGCCGAGTGGCCCCTCCTGACTCTGGCTCCTCGCGTGCGTCCGAGGAAGGGCACGCCCTGCCTGCAGGCCCCTGGGGCCCCGCCCGCATCCTCGCTCCTGTGCAGCGCGTCCTCGGGGCCCCTGATGAAAGGCCGCGGCCGTTTCTCCTCCCTGTGCACAAACACCAGGGCCAGGCGAACCCCGAGTGCCCCGTGCCATGGTGACGAGTACTCAGCGCCCCGGGCGCTGTCCAAGCAGGGCATGCACGCCGGCCCCAGAGGAGCGCGGGTTCCCCGAAGCTCCCCGACGCCCCGTGCTGTCGGGCAGCAGCAAAGGAAACACGGGAGGGGGTCCAGGTGCAGCTCCGCCGGCGGGTAACGCGGGAACAAGAGTGTTAAGAGACGAAGGCGGAGAGCAGGGCACTCGGGAAACCGCACAGAGCTCAGGGCGACAGAGGGGATGCGGAGCGCACCGCAGCTGCCCGAGGAAGGCAGGCGGGGGTCCGGGCTCGAGGGGCCGCGCACAGCAGAGGACGGGGTGCCAGGGCCTCCGCACAGACGCGGCATGGGCTCGCTGACCACGACTCACTTGGTGTCCACCGGGGCTGCAAGGCCGCATCCGGCTGCTTTCTGTTACCTTTGTTCAGCCGTGGCCATGGCCGGCCGTCGGCGGCTGTGCGTGCCCGGGTGTCACCCGCGTCGCAGGGTGTGCTGTGTCTTGGGCTGGAAACTAGTCCCTGCGGTGAAAGGTTTTAAAATTCAGATCTTGTCCAGTTGCTCATGTGCCTTTCTGCCGGGGGCAGACTCTTGGTGGAGTGTGGGCCGGAGCCGCGGAGCCGTCGGGGGCAGCAGTGCGCCTGCCTCAGCTGCTCTATCCCGTCTCCTAGGGCTCCGGGGAACCATGCCGTCACCCGGACACCGGCTCCGAGATGTTGAACACCGCCCTCTCCTGGCCGAAGACGACAGTTACGACTCTTCGTCGTCCTCCTCGGAGGCTGATGCAGCCGACAGGGTCTGGTTCATCCGCGACGGCTGTGGCATGATCTGCGCCGTCATGACGTGGCTCCTGGTCGTCTATGCGGACTTTGTGGTGACGTTCGTCATGCTGCTGCCTTCCAAAGACTTCTGGTACTCTGTGGTCAACGGGGTCCTCTTTAACTGCCTGGCGGTGCTGGCCCTGTCGTCCCATCTGAGGACCATGCTTACCGACCCCGTGAGTACCCCCCACCCCGCGTGTGGTCAGGTGGCACCACAGACCCTGTGAGTACCCCCGCATGTGGTCAGGTGGCACCACAGACCCCGTGAGTACCCCCCTCCGTGTGGTCAGGTGGCACCACAGACCTTGTGGCGAAGGTCCTCCCTGCTCCTCTGGCCTCAGCCTTTCATTAATTCCTGGGCACAGGCTGGTTCTCATGTCTTTTTTTAAATTTTTCTTAGGTTTACCAATTTATTTTGAGAGAGCGAGCACGAGTAGAGAAGGGGAGAGGAGAGGGAGAGAGACTCTCACACAGGCTCCATGCCATCAGTGCAAAGCCCAGTGTGGGGCTCGAACTCATGACCTACGAGATCATGAGCTGAGCCGAAGTCCAGAGTCAGATGCTTAACCGACTGAGTCCCCGGGTGCCCTATTTCTGTGTTTAACGTAGGCTCTGCAGCCAGCGCCCAGCTCACACTCGTGACCCCGAGGCCAGCAGTCACATGCTTCCCGAACCTCACCAGCCAGGCAGCCTGCCTCAAAGCAGGGAGGGTGGGGGGGTCCCAGTGCAGAGATGAAAGTACATCCCATCGGACTGTTGGTGCGGATGTAAAGGTCGTCACTGATTGGCTGGTAGAGTCCCTCCCCATTTAAGTGCTTTGCTTCTCTACAGAATAGACCGGCAGCGGCAGCGGGAGATCTGGGTTCTAGATTTCACTGCTTAAGTAATCTTTTCCGTTGCCTTTTGACTAGAAGCAACTACTTGAACTTCTTTGGGCGAAAGCAAGGTTAGATGTTATCTCTAAGTTCTTTTCTAGCTTCACAGTTCTCTAACTGTTCTGGAATTACAAACAGAAACGGCAGCCAGGGGCCAGCGTCTCTTTCCAGCCTGGGGAGCCTTGGGAGGGTCAAGGTCCGACTTGTCCGTCCTGCAGGGAGGGAGAGTTCCGTAGCATAGCGGCCACACCGGTTCCACCAGGTTGGGGTGTGACCAGAGAGGAGGTCCTCCATCAGGGAGGGGGCCCGACAGGTGTGCTGGGTGTTGTCCAGAAAGCAAGGGCGGTGTCTCGCTCCTTTTAGGAGTGATTTTCCTCGGAATAAGGACCTAAGGCAGAGAACCGCCCTTGGTCCCTGATGTCCTCTGGATTCAGAGCCTCCACGGTGGGTTTAAGGTTCTGTATCTGAGGTTTGAGACCACCTCCACGTAAGAAGGGTGGCTCAGGCCCTAAGAGCTCAGCCGGGAGTCCCCTCCAGGCCCGGCTCCAGGCCCGCCCCAGACCCCACAGGGGGTGTCCAGGGCTGCCGTGCAGAGCGCGGGCCGCCCATGGCCCAGTGGAGACAGTGTCGCCCTGGGCATGCGCAACCCGGTGCTCAGGGTCCCTGCTTTCACCAGCATGAAAACAGTGGTTTTAGACCATGGGTGTGGGGGCTCCAGATTTGTGAATTATGGGCTACTGGGCTCATGTCTGTTGCTCGCTCTCCAAGGGAAATACTAAGAAGTTAACATCTGGTACAGATTTTATATAAAAGAGATTAGGAGTCTGAGGATGAACCGATAGTGATCAGTCTGCAGAGTGTGGTTTACGTGAACACAACCTGACTTCTGCTGTCTGAGCTCAGATCCCGGGGCTTGTCCCTGCTCCGTTCACTCTGTCCCTTGCCTCGCGGGGGTCTTGGGCAGAGGACAGCACTGTAGACCCGGGCAGCGGGCAGCCGCACTGTGGGACAGACTCCGATGCTTGGTCTGCTGTGGCACCGTGGCCTCACCTCACAGTCTGACCACAACCCGGTCTGATGTCCATCGGAGACTTAGAAAGGGTCCTGTCACTTCCTTCCATGCAGCAAAGCCTCCCTCGGGGTGGGACCCGGCTCCGGACCCCTGCGGTCCAGCTCCTGTCCCGACTTCCCCCGGCCCCCCTACAGAGAAAGGTCACAACTCTTCGAGGAAGCCCCAGGAGCAGGGGGAAGCTGCTGGGGGTGGGGGTGGGGGCGGAGAGAAGGTGTGGGCAGGGCGTGGCATCTGTCCCTCGGGGTCACGTGTGTTTCCTTGCTGGGTCACTACAGACGGTGTTGGGTGACATGTTCAGAGAAAGGGCCTTCCGAGGTCAAGGAGGAGTGTGGGGTCTTGAATGTCAGCGTTTCATTTCAAATTTAAACCATACACCACAAAACTCATGTTTTTAAGGTGCCTAGTCAAGTGGGCCTTACTCGGAGGTGTGAACCTCCCTTCATAGTCAGCTTGAGGACATTTCCGTCACCTGGGCCTTTATCTTGAAACTTCCGTGCACTCTGGAGCTTTCAACTTCTACCCCTGTGCCCTGGGTGCTCCGTAAGCGAGGATGTGGGTCTGGGGGAGAGCCCCATTCGCAGCTACCCCTGCGTTAGGTGTTGGGGATCCAGAATGCACGACAGGGAGTTGGGGGGACGATGGAAAGATATGGGGGGACAGAGAAGTACTTTGCAAAGCGTGACTTCCCTGGACATGCGCCGTGGCTGAGAGCAGGTCCCCTCCGCTGCGGTGGATAGCGGGTGCGGCAGGCGCAAGAAATCGGGCACCGGGAGAGGCAGCCTTAGAGCAAAGAGCTGTTGGGGGAACTTCGTTCCAAAGGGCAGCGCTCTGGACCATCCGGGGTAGCAGGGAGCCCAAAGGTGCGGCTCTGGTCTGGGGAGCCGGGGATGAAGCATGCCAGATGGGTTTTAGAAGAGGCACCCCCTGATGGCGCGTGGGCCCGAGGGAGGACCATGCCTCAGCTCTTCAGGTTCTTTGGATGAAGAGGGACCCCACAGGTGTGAGGAAAGGGCCCTCCACCAGGCACGACCCTTGAGCCCCACGGTTCTGAGCAGGGTGCTCGCACCAGCCCGTCCCCCCATGTCGGCCCCGGGAGAGCACGGCCTAACCCAGGGATGCGGAACCCGAGTGGGGCCTCCCGGAGCCCCCAGAGCTCAGGGTTCTGGGCCAAGAACCCGAAGGTCCCCCTAACACCAGTGGGAGCGTCTGGCCGCAAAGCCCGACGTGAGCGCCGTGTGGCTGCCCTTCTGTAGGGAAACGGTCCTGAGGGGTCTCTGGGAGAAGAGGGGTGGTTGTGGGGCATCTGCTCCCAGAACGGTTCTGTCCCGGGTCGCGGTTTCTACTGGGGAGGAGCACATGTGTGTCTCATAAACACTGAGGCGCAGGGAGTTTTAAAATCGGGACCCGTGCCGCCTAACTCTGGGAGCACGTGACCTTGAACCGTCACCGGGAGCATGTGCGTTATGGGATTTATAAAATCAGGATGTACGACTGCCGGATCAGGGGAGGAAACTTGATTAAAGATTCCAGATCATGGTATGTAAATTCACTAACAGGTTTAAGTCAACATCCTGATTTAAATTTTCAAAGACAAAACTTTTTTTTTTTTCTGAGAGAGAGAGAGAGAGAGAGAGAGACAGTGAGACCGTGTGAGCAGGAGAGGGTCAGAGAGAGAGAGAGAGACACAGAAACGGAAGCAGGCTCCAGGCTCTGAGCTGTCAGCACAGGGCCCGATGCAGGGCTTGAACCCACGAACCGGGAGATCATGACCTGAGCCAAAGTCGGACACGTAACCGACTGAGCCCCCCGGGCGCCCCAGAGCCAAAACATTTTAAATCCTTAACTTTTTAACCTCTTTTAAGGAGAAAATTGCAATGTTAGGAAACGTCAGGGCCTTGACCAGAAAGAAGAGCTTCCCCATACTGGGACACGAAGGGACAGGTGCTTGTGTGCAGGAAGGCAAACTGAGGCGGAGGGCTGGCCAGCCTCCTCCTGCCACTGCGGCGGCATTAGATCAGTCCTTGCCCCACACAGGTTCAGATCTCCCACCCGGGCGCCAGCCCGGGCCCCGAGCTGCGAGGAGTCCCCTCGCCGTCCCCACCACTGTGTCCCCACCACTGCTCGCTGCTGCCTCGCATCTCCTCGGGCCTGCGCTCCCCCCGTGGCCTGGCCTGCGATTCCCGGTGTGCGCTTCCGCCTCCGGTGCGGGCTCCGTGGCGCTAACCAGCTGGAGATGGGACCTTGTTCCCACCGTGCCACCGTTAGGGCCTCCTCCATGCTAGCGGGTACCCTTTCTTAGCGCACCCCGCCGTGGCTCCTGGCATCACGTCCCACAGATGTGTCGTCACTGCACATCCACTGCGTGCTGCTCGGGCCTCTTGCCGTCAGTGCACATGAACTTCTCCGCCTCGGCCGGCACGTGGGGCATGCCTGCCACTGCCTCTCACCCCCCCCCCCCCCCCCCCCCCCCCCCCCCCCCCCCCCCCCCCCCCCCCCCCCCCCGCCAGGGCCCCATGGCCGACACCGATCCCGTCTCCGGGCTGCACGCGCAGGCGTGTGTACGTGAGGGCCTACGATGGGGCCGGCAGACGCGTTACGCAACTTCACAAACATGAGATAAAGTCCTTGATACCGTCCTGTTAGGGTGGCCCTGCTGCAGCTGATAAGAAAAGTCTGGGCCACACTCGGCACGTAAACCCTGCCCGTGAGTGCGGTCACAGGGAAGGGTGTCAGCAGCGCGCACTGGTGCCATCTGGGGACGTTCAGCACCCTGCAGTTGGAAAGGCTTGACAAGCAAGCCTTGCGTCTGGCGTGCCCTGCGTTAGGCCCGCTGAGCCAGAGAAAACTCCGGTGACTTACCAGATTGGAACGGATGAAAAGGTATTTCAGGTTCGTGTTAATGCATATGCTGTTTTTCATGGGAATTAACTCTGGTCCTGCCCGAGTGACGGCCATTTATTAAATTCATACACTTCACATGGCGACCACGGCCCAGGATATTATTTTACAGCGTCTAAAAACACTTACTGATTTCTTGTTTAAACTTTCCTTCTCCGGAACCAAAATGTGTTCTTACTCAACTGCAGGGGGCCGTGCCCAAAGGAAACGCCACTAAGGAGTACATGGAGGGCCTGCAGCTGAAGCCTGGGGAGGTGATCTACAAGTGTCCCAAGTGCTGCTGCATCAAGCCCGAGCGCGCCCACCACTGCAGGTGCCGCAGACCCCCAGCCCCCGGGAGCCCCCTCCCCAGGGCAGCCGCCTCTCAGAGCAGCCTTCCCCCCGGAGTAGCCCCCTCCACGGAGCAGCCCTCCCCCCAGAGTAGCCCCTCCCCCACAGAGCAGCCCTCCCCCCAGAGCAGCCCCCTGCACGGAGCAGCACCCCCACCCCGGAGCAGCCCCCCCCCCGACAGAGCAGCCCCTCCCACGGCAGCTCCCCTCCCCCAGAGCAGGAGGCCCTTCTCCGAGGCCGCTCATCAGCACCACAGTCCGTGTGTGGGGTGCGCGGCCTGGGGTTGTGTGTTCCCGGCGCACAGATACCGACAGCCTTCTCCTTTTCAGTATTTGCAAAAGATGTATTCGGAAAATGGATCATCACTGCCCGTGGGTGAACAATTGTGTGGGAGAAAAGAATCAGAGGTTTTTCGTGCTCTTCACTGTGAGTAAAAGCACTTGTGCGCTGACTTACGCCGGGTTGGTAACTCGAGTCTTGCCTGGAGCAGGTGGATTTCTAACGTCTGACAAGTTTCTCCGACCTTCCCTCTGGGATCCACAGTATTTTTTTTTTTTAATGTTTATTTGAAAGAGAGTGCGAGAGAGAGAAAGAGTGAGCAAGCATGAGCAGGGGAGGGGCAGAGAGAGAGGGAGACACAGAATCCGAAACAGGCTCCAGGCTCCGAGCTGTCAGCACAGAGCCCGACGCGGGGCTCAAACTCACACATGGTGAGATTATGACCTGAGCCAAAGTCGGTCCCTCAACCAGCTGAGCCCCCAGGCGCCCCAGGATCCACACTGTAAACTGTGCCATCAGAAAGCGCCCCAGCAGGTGTGTGCTGCTCGTGTCATTTTAGGGATTTGACGTGGTCTCTCTCTCGCTCAGGTCCCTCGAGTCACAGTTGCTGACGGGATCTTGCCGAATGTGTCCTGGGTCCAGCGTGACCTCGGTGGACGGCCGGCAGCTGCCGTGACTGGTCCCTCCCCTCATTCGTTTTCACGGACGAACGAGACGGAAGAGTAAACACACGTCCGTGGCCTGTGCCCCTAAAACATGTAACCATCCCTGGCGGCTCACCAGCGTCTCTCTTCTTCCAGATGTACGTAGCTCTGTCCTCAGTCCACGCTCTGATCCTCTGTGGCCTCCAGTTCGTTTCCTGTGTCCGAGGGCAGTGGACTGGTAAGCCCGGCGGCCGGCCGTCTCCCTGTCAGGCCAAGGGGGAAGGGCTGGAAGAGCTGATTTTCCCCATCAGTTCCCGAGGTCCTTTAGGAAAGGGTACGGGTCTTAACGCTGCTGATTTGCTAGCGCGTGGAAGCCACGTACACATAGTCGTTCTTCCTTAGTTCGGAAACGGTCTATGTGAAGTTGTTCGCAGAGCGTGAGAGCCGCTGGCAGTCAGCTCGATGCACCAGACCTCGCGCTTGTCTCCTGGCCGGCCAGCTGCCAGTCGTTCAGTGCGGTCCTTACGTTACTGGGTCCCCAGTGCTGAGTGCAGCAGCAGCAGCAGTCGGGGGACGCCGACTGGTACCCCCCAGACCGGCTGGCGGGTCGGTCAGACTCATTCCCTGGGACCCATGGGGAGTGGCGGGGTGGGCTTTCCTGCAGGGGTGGCCCCTCTGCTGGCTTTCGTTGAGGCCAGTACAACGTTGGGCGCACGTGCTGTCTGGACGGAAGCCGCCCGAGAGGCCGTGGTGTGGGTTTGTGGCTGGGACGGGTGGCTGCCTCCGGCCCGTGGTGAGGGCGACCGTGCCCGTTTGCAGAGGAGCGCGTCTGTCCACCCGCGCGGCCTCAGGGCCGGCGCACGGGACTCTGCGCACTCAGAGCTGCGCCGCCCTGTGCTCCGCTGCCCTCTCACCGCAGCCTCTCTCTCGTCCACAGAGTGCAGTGACTTCTCGCCTCCGGTGACTGTAATCCTGTTGATCTTCCTGTGCCTTGAGGGGCTTCTGTTTTTCACGTTCACCGCAGTCATGTTCGGCACCCAGATTCACTCCATATGCAATGACGAAACGGTACGCTTCCTTTTCCGTTGCGCTCGCTTGGACTCGGCCTGAATGAGGGGGAAATGCCAGTGTCAGTGGCAGGTGCGCCTTTATTGACGCGGGAGGTAGAGGGGCCGTCTCGACGGGCCGTGACAGGTTCCCTGTGTTAGTCCTTCCTGCCTTGATGCGCCGTGTGGGCTCAAGGCTTGGTGTGCTTTGAGACTCAGCAGAGCCGGGCAGGTAGCGCCAGGCCAACCCTGGTTTCTAGGAGACCCAGCCCCTAGGACAACAAAGTGACTGCGGGGACCCCATGGCCTTCGTGCCTTTGCACTGGAGGGTCTAGAGCAGGCGCTTGGTAGATATTCGTAACAAACGAAAACCAGGCTGGTGCCCCGGCCCAGAGAACGAGCCTGCCCCGCCACCACTGCGTGCGGGTAGCCCCGTGGCCAGCCGTGGCTCGTGTTGTGTTGGCCAGTGGCTACAGCCCGGTGTGCTCAGGAGGCCATGGGGCCTGCACGGCCAGGAGCATCCGCTCTGCTGACCGCGAGGCCACACGTCACCTGCGCACGTGGCTGCCTGACGGACCCAGGGTCCACGCTGCGGGGTTCCTCTGCTGCGTCCACGGGGGCCTGGCCTGTGTGCATCGGGGCCTTTGCCGGTGCTGCCTGCCACCCACCTGCTCTCCTTTCTGCCTCCAGGAGATTGAGAGGCTGAAGAGTGAGAAGCCGACGTGGGAGCGGAGGCTGAGATGGGAGGGGATGCGGTCTGTCTTCGGGGGGCCCCCGTCGCTGCTCTGGATGAACCCCTTTGTCGGCTTCCGGTTGGGGCGACTGCAGAGCAGACCTAGGAAGGGAGGCCCAGAGTTCTCCGTCTGAGGCTGTCTCGTGCTGAGACCTGTCGGCACACGTGAGCGGATTCATCTGGGGTCTGGAGGGGCTTCCGCGGCTCGCCCGTGACCAGTGGGGCAAACGGGACCGACGCAGGCCAGCGGCAGTGAGCGGTTTCTCGTACTTACAGTCACAGGTCGCAGAGCGTTTGCACCGGTGATGGGGTGACGCTCCGGCCGGGTTCCGCCTGTACAGCTCACAAGGTCTGCGGGCATGTGAGAAGCCGAGTGTCACTATCTGCCTGCATGGTTAGGACTTCTGTTAAGAACACGTTGCATTTTCTACGAAGTCGTGCGGGACCTTACACGGGCTGGTGAAGTCCTGTGTACCGAGCTGCTTTTTTTCAGTCATGAAGAAAACAAAAGTCAACCCAGTGAACGAGAATTCTCCAGCTTAGTGGTTTTGGGGCGTTCCTGGCGACCCCGGGACCCATGAGCGCACACCCTTGATCAAGGCGGGGCCTTTACGTAGAAATACACCTTGGTGTCCGTTAGCTCTGACGCTTTGCACTGAGTCTGCAAACCATCTGTGCACTGAACGGCGAAGGGGGCTTTAGGTGCACTCCCGCTGCCCTGGAAGAGGCGGCCTCGACCCCTTCGGCAAGTCCGCGTGCGTGCCTGTGTGTGTGCGTGCGTGTGTGTGTGCGCGCATGCATGTGTGCTTAAAATTGGCAGTGTTGTTTAGGCGACCCAACAGTTAATAGCTGCGTGTGGCCAACGAGCTGTTTTTTAGAAACTGATGTTTCAGGGATGAGGGAAGAACTGCCTCGGGGCCTTGGTCCCGCGGGGCTTATTATGAATTATGAATGTACTGCATTTTGGGAAATATCTTGATCCAAAGAACAATCACTCCTGTGTGGTCCTTCGTTGCCCTCCTGTTTTAACTTGACTTTAAAGATCTTGAGTGCGTGGGGGCCTGGGAACTGATGTTTTGTTCCAGCCACATCAGCAGGGTCCGAACGGCCCTCTGGTGTGTGTGAGAAGAGCAGAGGCCTGCGGTGGCCTTGCACGCTGCACGTGTGGACGCTGTCCCCGGGTGTGGAGGCGGGCGGGCGTGGCCCCACAGACTCAGAGGGAGGCGGGCAGCGCTGAGGACGTGAGGGGCCCCCGAGGCAGAGCCCCAGGACCCCGAGCCTCCCTCAATGGCAGAGCGTTCAGGACGGCAACAGTTTTATTATTTTTTTAAAAAATTTTTTGTATCATTCATGTTTGTCTCTCTTCCCACGTCACAAGTGATCAAATAGGCCCTTCAGTGCAGAGCTTAGAGTTCTGTCAGAGTGCAAACAGCCCACTCCGTGGGGACTCGCCTTAAACTTGCGTGGCCTATACCGGTCGTGCAGGACTTCGAGGAAGCCGTCCTGGCCCAAGCCCGGGGCCCCTGCAGGCCGATGAGAGGCGGCGTTTCCCTCCTGCTTCTCTGCCTCTCCGCTCTTCTGTGCGCTGTTCCTTTTTGTTTTCAACGCACCGCACCCTGTCCCAGTCAGGGCTTCTGCCGCTGCCGGCGCGGACCCACAGAGGGACTTACCGGAGACACGGCTGCGGCCGGGCGTCTCCGAGACGGACCCAGAGCCCCACGGGATGGGCGCATCCCCGCCAGAGGGACAGGCCGAGGGGCCCGGGCGCCGGCCGCGTACGCATTTGCACATCTGTTGTTCCGGGTGGACACGTGTGTTCGGCTTCCATGTGAGGCTTTACTGTGTCACCTGTTTATCAATAAAACATGGTTGAGCCCCGTGAGACTTGGCGAGTGTGTGCAGGTCGGCGTCCCCGCCTCCGGCACTGCCGGCCCCAGACGCTTCGGTGAGTGGCACAGGTCCTCACGGACTGACACCGTTTCCGGCGGCCGGCGTTTCCCCGGGTGCCGTCACTCCTGCGTCGTCGGCGCAGCCCTCGCGGGCTCTGCCGCGTCCACACGCAGCACCTGCTCCAGGCTGGCGCGTGGTGTCCGCTTCACTCTGTCGTCCGCGTTCCTGTGGCGGTTTTAGCGCACTTGGAAATGAAAACACTTCTAAACAATCCCTCTTGTATCTTGAACCCCAGGCACCTCCAGCTTCATTCAGCAAATGTGGTCGTGGTGCTTGAGGGAGCCCACGGTCCGGGTGGAGGGTGGCGGGCCGCGCCTGCGGGCGTCCCAGACGGGCGGGAACACAGATCCCGGAGCACAGGGACACGGCCCTCAGCGCAGATGCCGGGCCCCGCAGGGCTCCGTGGCGGTGCTCCCTGGGCCCCCTGCCAGGGCGTTACAGAAGGGGGCCAGTGGCGCTGCAGGGGTAATGAAAACACTCCCCAAGTAGAAAGGTGGCTAAATCCTGCCTTCTGTCACATGCGAACCCGGTTTGGCGGCCCGAGCAGAGAAACATCTGCAGGTGGCCCAGGGAAAGCGCTGAAGAGCAGGGAGCCCGTGCAGCCCCCCGGGGCTCAGAGTAGCTCAGACGCTCTCGATGCAAGCGTGCGCTACCTGCAGTACTGACCCGGGACCAGATTTAAGACCTTATGCGACATAAGCACAGTCAGCCTGAAGACACCGAGATCTGCGGCTGGTTTTGCTTTGTTTTTTTTTTTGTTTTGTTTTGTTTTTTAAGTTCACTTATTTAGAGAGAGAGAGGGAGAGAGAATCCCCGGCAGCCTCCATGGTGTGCACGCAGAGCCTGATGCGGGGCTTGATCTCATGTGGGGCTTGAACCCACGAACCGTGAGATCGTGACCTGAGCCGAAATCCAGAGTTGGACGCTTAACTGACCGAGCCCCCCAGGCACCCCGGGTCTTGCTTTTGTTCTGCAAGAGGAGGCAGGGCTTGGTCGCCAGGCCCGATTTTTTTTAAATCATGGAAGGGTGCTGAATTTTGCCAGACGCCTTTTCCTCATCTGTTGAGATGATCATGAGATTTTTATGCTTTATTCTGTGAATGGGGTGAGTCACATGGATTGATTTTGGTCTGTTGAGCCATCTGTGTTTCCCGAGGATGAGCACTGCGTGGTCGTGGTGTGTGCTGTTTCAGGCCTGCTGTTGGGTGTGGTTGGCTGTTGCTTGTTGAGGATTTGTGCACATGCACCCTTGTAAGAGATGCTGGTCTGTAGTTTCCGTGTAGTCATCTGCGTCCAGCTTTGCTGTCAGGGTGATACTGGCTCGTAGAATGACTTGGAAGTGTTCCCTCCTCTTCAGTTTTTCAGATGAGCTTGAGAGGGACGGGCATTAAATCTCCCTTAATTGTCAGGTAGAGTTCATTAGTGAAGATGTCTGGCCCTGGACTTCTCTTGGTTGGGAGGTTTTTGATTACTGATTCAATTTCAGTATTAGCTACAGATGGGTAAAGACTTAATGAAATCAGAGGGTCGCCTGGGGGCTCAGTGGGTTGAGCGTCCGACTTCGGCTCAGATCATGATCTCACGGTTCCTGGGTTCGAGCCCCTCGTCGGGCTCTGTGCTGACAGCTCGGAGCCTGGAACCTGCTTCTGATTCTGTGTCTCCCTCTCTCTCTGCCCCTCCCCTGCTCATGCTGTCGCTCTTTCTCAAAAATAAATAAAACATTGAAAAAAAAAGTTCTTAAAATAAATACAATCAGAAACGGAGAAGGAGACACTACAACCAATGCCACAGAAATGAAAACGGCCACGGGGACTGCTGTAAAGCATCACAGGCCACCTAACTGGACAACTAGAAACGTGTAGCCTACCAAGACCGAACCACGAGGAAACACATACCTCTTACAAAGAAAGAGCGGCCAGGACAGGTGCTGTGGGTGCACGCGGGGACGGGACACCCGCACCCCTGCGCTCCAGGGGTGCAGACGTGCTCGTGGCGTGTATTTTGTTTTGAGGAAGGATTTTTTTGGGAGGAGGGACCTGAGACCTCAAACTAAAAAAGGAAAATTCCAACTAAATGAAATGTCTGGGTTCATCCTACTTCCTCTTGTATTGCATCTTCTAGTTTTGATAGTCACCCTTGCGGACGCCTGGGGGAGGGAGGGGAGGTGAGGGCTCCTACCCGGCCGAGAGCACAGGAGCCCAAAACAGACCAGCACACAGCCTGCCGCAGGGCACGTGCACCTCCAGGAGCTCGAGAGGGGCCACGGAACGGCTGCAAGGTTATGGGTCGGACATGAACTTGGTCCCTGCACGCTTTCAGGTAACAAAACACAGCGACTCCAGGTGGGACGGGAGGCGTGCAGGGATCCGTGGTCACATCACATAATCCCGCTAACGAGACTCGGTGTCACCCTCCCTTCTCGTGTCTGTCACCCCAGACCCCAGAACACCCGGCCCGCTGTGCAGTCGTCTCTCTGGACCGAGCTGGGCAGGGGTGCTTTGCTGTGTGGATGTGACTTTCTTCAGTGCCGGCACATCCCCGCGGGACGGGACTCTGGAGGCTGAGGCGGCAGCCAGCCTGCGCGTGTCCTAGGGCCCTCAAGCCCCTTGCATCCTTAACAGTGAGCGGTCCCTCCCCTGGTCCTTTGGGTGCAGAAGCCCGGGAAGCACAGCATTATTCTGACCTCACAGTCGGGCTTTGCCATGTCAGGGTACCACCTGAGGTGGCGTGCCAGCTCTGAAATCCCTTCTGAGGAGCGCCTGCCACGGGGCCACAGGCATGCAGCGCAGACTCCACCCACGCACCGCGCCTGGGCCTCTGAAACCATCTGGCTTGTCCTCACCGGGTTTATCGAGGATGATGCCCCCCCCCCCCCCCGGCCACCGTCTTGGCATTTCCAGTTTCCAAGATGCCCTCCTGCACCTGATCGCGTCTCACTGCAGCCTCGAGGCAGATAACAGGGTGCCCATTTCATAGACCAAAAGACTGAGGCCCCCTGAGGTTACAGAAGGTCCTCACAGGGAGGGAAGGAGGAGGCTCCCACATGGACATTCTGGCTGGAATGATCCAATCCCTCCTCTGTTTTTATTTTTCTAATTACTGAATTTAAAGAGTAATAAAAATACCTGTTTTGGGGTCTGTTTGTTTTTGAGAGAGAGAAAGCACGGGTGGGAGGGGCAGAGAGGGAGAGAGAATCCCAAGTAGGCACCGCACTACCAGCACAGAGCCCAGCGTGGGCCTCGATCTTACAACCGTGAGATCACGACCTGAGCCAAAATCAAGAGTCAGACGCTTAACCAACCCAGCCACCAGGCACCCGTAAAAACCATTTATGAATAAACAGGTCAAAACCAGTAACATAAATTGCAGCTTTCACTGAGGTTATTTCAATATTATTTTTAGCACTGGTCTCTGAACTGCAGAATATACCCCAAAAACTCCATTGTTTGCCTCCAGACTGAATCCCGGCCCCGTGACGCCCCTGTGCACTCGAGCGACGCCTGTCTGTGTCCCCGTGACCCCTTCCCTCCAGAGAAGCCTTTGCGGTGTTCTTCCCACGCATGCAGGTGCTGGGGCGCGACCCGGAATTCTGGGCTCCGCTCTGATACTCAGACCTCGTGTTTTAGTGTCTGGCTCAGACTACAGACCCACTCGATCTTTTCTTGCTGAGCTTCAACGCAAATCCTGGGGGCGACAGGGCTGGGTCGATGGCCAGGGCACGCCCGCCACAGCGACTGAGAGGGCACCTGGGGAGGTGGAGGGGACTTGGGCCCCACAGGTGGCTCACGATGACCATTTTATGTTTAACATTAGTAATTTAATAATCACGTGAGCAGCCGGCTGGCCTCCCAGCTCACCTGGGCACCCAGAAGCAGCTCACAGAACTCCCCTTGGTGGCCGGGTCCCTGCGCCAGTGGCCAGCCCAGGGGAGGGAGAGCTGAAAGAGAAAGGGATGGGTCCTCAGCCTGGCGTGGCATCGTGCCACCAGAGGGCGCCACCAGACCACAGATGTGCACATGCCGCTCAGCCCACCTGAAACCTACTAGGCTCGTCCAGCCACTCATCGGATGCCTGCTGTGTGGCAGTGAGCCCCTGCCCGCAGCGGGCGTCAGTATGAGAAACTGAATATATAATCATATTCTGTGATTTGTGCTGTAAAAGAACAGCGGGCAAGGAGAGGGGACAGCGGGATGGACATCGAAGAGAAAGAAATCAGGCAAGGGCCCTGGGGGAGGGAAGAGCCGTGCAAAGGCCCTGGGCCAGGGAAAGGCTGGTGAGTTGCAGTACATCCACTGCTGGCCGAGAGCTTTGTCTCTAACATCCAGCTGGGATTGGAGCTGCTTAAAGCCAGAGAGTTCCGGGGGGTGGGGAGCTGGTAAGAGCCCACATGGCCCAGCCTGCTGGGCTCAGAGGAGGTGCCTGGGGGCCAACAAGTGCGCCCAGCAGTGGTCCCCGGGCCGGTGAGCAGAGGTGCATCTGAAGCAGGCTTCCTAAAGAGCAGGCTGGCCGTCCCCCCAGAGCCCAGGAGCAGACCTCTTCCTTCTGGGGGGGGACTGTTAGGAGTCCTCGGGCGGGCACACCGAGGACAGTGGGGGCAGGGGTGACTGCCATGGAAAGCAGGGGAGGGGAGTTGAGTAGCCAGGAGGGGTGTGTGCGTGGCCTTTCTCCGACCTCGGTCCAGGGGAGACCCTGTCGTCTGGGTGGCGGGGACAGAGCCTTGCTGGGTGGCCCTCCAGCCTGCTGGCAAGGGGTCCCCTCCAACACCCCAGAAAGCTCGGGCCCGAGCGGCCTCTGCGAGGGTCCGGACTCCACAGGCAGGCTTGGCGCCCAGCGCCCTTGGACTGTGGTGTGAAGAGTCTCGTCCCCCCACCTTCCAGCTGTGACCCTCCGTGCCTCAGTGTCCTCGCCCGCAGAAGGGCGCCCGCCAGCTCT